GAGAAAACTAATTAACTCCTACAGTGTGCACTGGTGATCTAATTAATGGAGTACCACATGCATCTGTACTAGGACAACTGCTCTTCCTAATTTATATACTGTAAATGATCTGGATTCTGGTATAATTAGTAAAATAGTCAAAGTTACAGATGATATTGAATTATGTGCTTTGGAAAACACTAAAAAATACAAACATGCTAAAAGTGAGATAAAGTGTAGAAATCTGACCCTGGCCTGGGCTCATTCCTGACCCGGCTTGAGTGCATGTTAAACAGACACCTGCTGTACGTGACATGTCAGAAATAACTGGGATGACGTTATCAGGAATAGCCACTGTGCCATGTGCGGACATATTTTCTATTTGTCACTTTCACCATCCCTCCTCTAGAGGGCGCTCCGACTCTTTTGTATTTTAGTTTCGTTATTACGTGCACCTGCCCCCCGTTTGCCGATTACTAAGTGCGACGTTTCCGTAGCTCTCGGCCCAGCATGTGGAAGACAGAAGCCCGGAAGCCCACCTACCAGCAGGTGCAGGAGTAACCCAACTACATAGGTTTCACCACGGCATCCTGACCATCTGGGTCTGGGGCTCGAGCACCTGGCCTCATTATCCTTTTAACCTCTGTGTTCCTGATCGTGTTATTCCTGGGAATTTTAATCGTCCTTGTCTTGGATGGACCTCCCGTTTTTGGATTATGGACTGCGCCCTGGTTTCCCTTTTTGGACTGTGTTGGACTTGTTTGCCTGTGCCTGATCACAGCCACCGCGCCCCCCTGTCTGTCATCCTGTCCCGTTCCTGCCGTGTTTCCCCTGATGTCCTACTCCAGTCACTTCCGGATTATACTGTCTGCATAGGGTCCTAAACCACACATTCGGAAGTCAGAACCAGCTCCCGTTACACTAGTGTTCCAATAAGCAATGGTTACTCATAAAAACACATTCATGGTAATAAAACAGGGAGACCATGGCTATACTGTGGAGGATGCACCTTGTATCCGGTGGAAATGTAGCCTGTCAAACCTTCCCTGAGCTGTGCTGTGACTCTCTGAATCTCTACACCAGGAAAGCACTAATGATATCTGAGATAAAAGACAGAACATGTCATTTACTTCTTCTAGTCAATGTAGGGAAGCAATTAAACCTGGCAGATAAATTTAGTATATAAACATACTCATTCTGGTACCAGTTTTGTCTTGTACTGAAACAATTGCAAAAGCACTTGCTAAAATATTCAAATTCGTCCAGGGTATTGGAAGTGCAGCTACATCTGAGAGCAGTGAGTGCTTGTTTTACCCAAAGTGTTGTGGGAGTATGGGAAAACTACCCAGCCACGTTGCTGAATTGGATACCCTGGCTTCTTTCAGGAAACAGCTGGATGCGATCCTTTGATCAATTAGCTGCTGACTGCGAAAGAGTCTAGATGGACCAGCTGGCCTCCTGTTGTTTGTCACTGTTCTAATGTTCTTTGAGTACAGTATTTGTGCCACTATGTTTAGGCCTTACAAACGGATGTGCCAGTACATCAAAATCAACTGGAGAAAAACAGGTGAAAATTGTATGGATTGTAAAGGATTAAAACATCAGCCTTTTTATTCAAAACCCAAAACATTAGCACAATAAATGAAAGAAGCAAATTGAGCCCTCAATGAGTCAAATGCCCTGCCACAGTTCAGCAGTGTACTGAACATACGGTATGTAGCAGACCTGTTCCCTGCCTGCATCGGTTACGCTTAGTGTAAAATCCTATGAGCTGGCTCTCAAAATAAATGTTCCAAAGCAAAGAGTATTGTTAATTGGACCTAAATTGAGCAAACAGCTGCACTATGTTTGTAAGAAGTGCAAATATGTACAGATAGCAGGAAGAACATACATTTTAAATATGAAAGGCAGCAAGATACAGGAAACAGCCTACTGTGAAGTGTGAAAGGGCACATAGCTGTTGACATCGACTCACCGTTGTCCTGTTTTGTGAAATATGGGTAAGTAATATGAAAAAAAGTTAACAAAATGTTCAGTCTGGCAAAATATAGAATTTAAGAAAAATTCTATTTTTTGTAATATTTCATATATTCTTATTGTCTTACACTATTCTTAAATCATTACTTTTAAGAATGAGTGGAAATCAGACCTGGATTACCAGATATCTGTAGTATGTACGCTGATTAAAGACCATGGAAGGCATAAAGCAAAGCAATAAGATATAATAATAAAGATATAATGCCCAGCTGTTGGGGTGTTCATTACATTGAATAGCCCAAAGAAAGAATTAAAACCACCATACAGAATAGCCAATGATGTGCTCAGATTTCTAGTTCAAAACATTAATAATAACATAACCTTATAATACTCATTTACACATAAAATTAAGTGAATTAAGTGGCCATTTAATAACACATTTTTGGAATGTCAGGTTGTTGTAAAAGCATTGTGCTAAAATAATTTCTATCATGTTTCTATGACTGATAAATTGATTGTCTTTTAACACCTACAGTAAAGCATTTCTATTTATATTCCATCCTTACCTTCCAGTCCATTCCATATCATGGAATATGATGAATACTTACCACCACAAATATCAATTAAAAGTAAAAATCCACAAAACAAATTATTAATTGAATTGACATTACATTACTCACACAATGTAAAGTGTTTCACAAATATAATACACTGAGGCTTTTTCTACAGGTATTGCTCTTTACAGATGTGTATACAATTACCAAAGTAAAGTGATACTGCCTTGCTATTTGGTACATTCTGTGTGCTTCCAGTTGTCACATTCCTCTCAAATGAACGATGAAACAAGTTTCTATGTCACACAGTCAGTGCTTCAAAAGGCAATTCAAAGCCAGGAGCTGGCTGTTCTTCAGATAAATACTTGTACATTAAAAGAAATATGCATGCAGCTTTCTACTGCAAATACCTTGCCAAACAATTTCAGTCTTTCACCATCGTCCAAAACAATCTCTGAACAGGGGAAGATCAGCTGAACAGCGCAACAAGAGTCTGTGCCAGTCCAACCCGAATCTCTTGGCACACATAGCTTTTCCAGTCTCCTGAGAAATATGCCTCCCTGTTTAAAATTCTCTTTTGTATTATCTTCCATCTTATCTTTCACTGCTTTACTGGTAACAATCTGTAATCCTTTAAATAGAAAAATATTTTCCAAAAAATGTTTTTAAAAAATATGAAATGGCCTAGCAGAGGATAAACCAGAAAATCCAACAATTTGCAAAGAATTTGTGGCTTTGTCCTTCAGTCTCTGCAAGGCGGTGACATGTCTATCTATCATGTTGATGAGAGCACCAATCTTTGGCTGTAGAATTAGAGTGCACTGCAGGAGTCCCAGGTAGACTGGTATATTGGATCCTTTTTTATTAGGAATGGAAGAAAATGGTCCACATATTTTCACCGCTATTTATACCTTGTAACTGTCCATGTAAACGGACAGCTGTGCAATTTATTTTCCAAATGATCAATAGAAATTCGTATATGAAGACGTTATTGTGCAATACGGTAGATAAATCTTACTACGCGTCTGGGTTTCTCATTATCGATAGTGTATACGGTACTTCTCCCATAAATGCAATGTAAAACTACAGATGTGTGGTCACTCTTTGACTTCTCATGCGGGCCTCCAATGCGGAACGTGCATACTTCAATGGGTATTTAAGTGGTGTAATTACACTGACGGTGTAATTACGAATTTGACTATCGCATATCTCAGAGGCTGTGGTATGGTCTGGATTAGCCTTCTCAGCTAGGTGGTTAAGGCTCAGTCTACAGGCTCTTTCATAAAGCAGCTGAAATTTCAGTTTCTCTCAAGTAATAAAATACCCAGCGTGGGCACTAGGCAGGATACGCCCTGGACGCACACACACTCACACCAGGGCCAGTTTCCTCAGAAACCAATGAACCTACCCGTATGTTCCTGGCCCTGTGGGAGGAGAGAACATGCAAGCTCCACACAGATAGCTGCTCCACTCTGGAACTGAGCCCAGGCCCCAGCAGTGCTGATCACTGCGCCACCCTGCCCTGCCGGTCACATCCTCACGGTCTTAGAATGGATTTACATTTAAAGTTTCAACTCTTAAGAAAGAAGATAAAGCTGCCAATACACAAGAACCTGTTTTTATTGGAATTACATCTATGTGCAATACTTCACATGCATCCTTAGGAAAAATGTTGGTTCATGACAGTAAGTATATAAATACCACCCCTTTCCCCAGTGTAGTGTGTGAACAGACCAACCTGGGATTCAAGTTAGAGATTAATGGAAATGCATTTTTATGAAGAAATGAAGACTTCATAAAACTGAATCTTCCTCAGTGCCACTGAGTGTTGTTGTGGCACTGCGCCCAATACATTGGACCAGATGGTCCAAAAACGTTTTGCTCACAAACATTGATTTATTTGGAAACACATTTGCCGTATATGAATGCCTTCATAACGTGAAACTTTATGTCTCATAAACTGGAGATGTTTAATTGCTAGCGAATGTTTTCAAAAGCAAAAATCCATTACCTTTATTAAAAAGCATTTGAATATGTAATCCTTTTATGAGTGAGAATGCTCAAATTAAAATGTGTTTCACAATAAACAACCATGCAAAAAAAAAAACCTTTTGTAAGTTTTGTAGATTTTTAGGAAAAATGTTCTTTACTGCTGGTAGGATAAGTTAATAATCTGGTGCATATTTGTATAACTAGTAACACAGTAAACCCCACATATTAGACTGAACAAGTGAAAGCATTTGTTGACATTACAATACTATATTCAAGGAGGTTATTGAACTCACTGAAACATTAATGTGTGAATTAAGCCTACTTAATAAAAATCTGCATTTAAAACTATAACTATTAAAGGTATTTATATTTTTCAAATGTAAATTAACTCCAGAACCTATGTACATGTTCATTTGATATGAAATGTGAGGCATACTTTTTTTAAACAAAGTTGATCATGTGAAAATGGAGGCATAATAAAGAAACATTTCATTGCCAATCCTAGTTTTATTTTCACTAAACCCACCTTAGTACTGTATGACACACATAGAGAAAAGCTTGGAGAAACCTTCTTATTCATTGAAGGTCTTGTTCACTTATTCTGCAGTAGAGAGCACTGATTAGTGTTCTGGGCTCTGAAAAGAAAGGTAATGGGTTCAAATCAAGTGGTTTGCTTATACACTGTTTTGAATAAATTCTTTCAGTACAATACACAGACATAAGAATGGGTTCAGATGTAAGGACTGTATCTCTGGACTGAAGTATTAATAATGATGATGTACTAGCCACTTTATTTTGTTGAAGAGACAGACTTAAATCATTAATTGTGCTGTCCATTGTTCAAGAACATGCAGAAAACAAACAGGAAAAAACTGATGATACAAAACGAAAAGATGGTCATCCAGTCCATTCTGATAATTTTGCTTCTTTTGGCTGATCAGTGCCAGAAACATATCCAACCACTTCTCAAAGGATTCCAGAGTCTTTGCTCTTGAAAGCAGCTACTCTGAATCCTGCTTCATGACTGCTTGCCCATCTGACCCTCTTCTGTTTATCAGCCTGGCTAATTAGACACTATCTTTCTTGTTCTTGCTTACTAGTAGTACCGTACATTTTAGAAAAGCTGATGTACCGAATCATATTTAGGTGGGTGATATGTAATTTCTCTATAATAAACTTGAATACAATTTAAGAGGATATAATCCATTAATTATAAAATATAAAATTATATAAATTAAGTTTTGTTTCCTTGATTGACACTATAAAACTCTAGAGAGAGACATTGCTTAAATGGATCGCTTTAAAATGTTAAGTTTTGGTAACTACATAAAAAATGCCTGGGGGTGTTCATAACACCATTTGTTGATATGATGGATTGGAACATTTAATAAAAATGTATTGCACTCTTTGTGCCGGATTTAATGTCTCCCCATGTAGTTTCCAGCAGCTCTTTCTGTCATGATCCTGTTAACCCAGCCTCTGACAGACAGAGGCTGTAATTGAACTTGCTCTCCACTCCTGACTTTCTCCACTATGGGGCCTAAGTAGGGTCGGCCAGCTATACTGAGTCAGCATGTGGTGCCGGAAGTTAAAATTGGGCACAGATGGAACCTTTGAAATACCTTTTGCACAAAATACACAGCATGCCCCATAACCAGGAAACAGTCAGGAGTTAAGAGAAACTCAATTTTTTCACATACTGTACAGCTAGTGCACCTACAAACAATAGCCCCTTCTTTTGAATCCAGATATAGATATGTCAAGAGTCTTCCAGAGTCTTCATTGGACTGATAGCATCTAGAGTTTCCTAAGAGATCTGTAATTCAAAGCTGCTGCCAGCCAGAGATGAGATTTGACTATCAGAAGTCTGTCAATTAAAACCCACCCTCTTTTATTTTCAAAACAAACTCCCTCTGATTTTTAGCTTCATACGAGGGGACCCCTTTATATGTCACAAGAAAATGCATTGAATTTATGTTCACCCGTATAAATCCGAACCAAGATTTCATCTAAATCTCTGTACTGTATCACAAAAATGGCTAATAAAAGTTTTAAATATATTACAACTAATCTACTATTTCATATAATTACTTTTATTAATTTAAAGACCTTGTTAAGATGTTTTCCCTCTGTCTTAATTCAGGGTTTCTGAACAAATTCAGCATCAATGTATTCACTGCACTGTGATTACTTTCATTTCTAAACAGCTGCAGAAGAATGTTTTGTCAGAAACATTCCTAAAATAATTCATTTAGTCATTTAAACCTTGTTTTCATCATATCTAGCCCAGTGCATGAAAACTAGCAAATTTATGTTCAATGCAGATAAGAATGAAAATGGGTTCTGCTTGGAAGATGCTTTGCTCTTTTTGTGATGGACTCAGCAAACCAAACCTTTTAGGAGACAATTTTAAAAACAGACCACAATCCATTAAGTCCTTCATATTAACTTTCAACCCATCTATTAATTAATATTGTATAGACCCAGAATTCTGTTTAATTTACTTCCGGCACTGAAAAGCCCCGGGCCTCTGATGTTTCCCGTGTGATCTTTTTCATGTTTTTTTTTTAAAGAAACAAGCAGTCAGGTTTTTAGAAAAGAAGAAAAATTGAGAACGATAATGCTACTTCAATGCTGAGATATATTGTGAACAAATTCCTCAGCATCATGAAGTCAAACTGAATAACGATAAATCAAACAAGGAAAGCTTGAAGTTGGAAAACTACCTTTTTTGTGTTTCATGTTGATCTGAGATAATTAAAAAGGGCATTGAGCCCCCCATCCAAAACCTCTGCGAGGGGTTTCAGCAGAGGGTTGTGGACAATGTGGAGCCCTTGGTCCAGTGGATGGCACGCAAGTCTCTTTAGTTTCCTCAGAAGGTAGAATTGCACAGGAACATTGTGAATGTCATTGAAGTCCACATTAAGCAACTCCAGGGATGTTAGAAAACAGAGAGTCTTCGGCAAGGAGTGGATATGATTGCCCTCAACGATGAAGATCTTTAAATTCACCAGGTGCTCAATCTGATCTGCTATGTTTTCCAGTCTGTTGCAGGCCAGGTGCAGGAAGACCAAATTCTTCAACCTGTAAACGCAGGCTGGGATGTGGTCGATGCAGTTGTAACTCAGATTGAGCTTCTTCAAGCTGACCAAGCTGCTGAAACTGTCTGGGAGGCAGGTGAGGTGGTTGTGGGCCAGGCTGAGAACTTCCAGTCTACTGCAGGCACTCAGCTCCTCGGGGACCTCTGTCAGAAGGTTCTTGTAGGCAAATAAGACACGGAGGTTCTTCAGCTGGCCAATCTCCGGAGGCAGGCTGGTCAGCTGGTTTCCCCACAGATTCAAAACCACAAGGTTTTCAAGGCCTCCCACAGCAGGGGGCAGTGTGCTCAGGCAGTTCAGTGACAGGTTCAGCTTGTCCAGCTCAGTCAATTCCCACAGTTCTTCTGGAGCGTTAGCCATTCCCCGCATGGCCAGACTCAGAACGGTAAATCCAAAACGGACAATGATGTGCTTCCTTATTCTTTCGGCGGATGATAACTCTTCCTCTTTAGACGGAGCATTCCCTGTTTTTTTAACTTGCTTCTTCAACTCCTCCTTGGCGAAGTCTTTGGATTGCTTAGCTCCCATATCTTCAAAACAACAGCGCCTGCTTGATCAAAATGTCAAAGGGACATTTTTTGCATAAGCTTCTGTGCAGGAATTTAAAAGGGGGAAGGCTCCTTTCTTCTGTGTGCATGAAAGGTTTCCTGGATGCTCCTCTTCTTTTCCAGTTTTTTTTTAAATCAAACAGCAAACAACCCCCCCAAACAACTATCCAAATAAGAAACGATGGTAAGGTACAGCATGGAAAAGTTTTAGAATCTCTCTTTCAGCACAGAGCAGGGTGTTGCTCTGGTTAACTAAATGAAAGGTGTAATGAAGAGCTGAAATACTAAATGTGCTGACCAGACCTGCTCCGGTTCCTACTGAATTTCACTGAACAGCTGCCACTGTCATTTCAGTGCTTCGTCTGAGTGATAACTAACCTTGATTGTATTGAGGTCACTAGTATTCCACTTTTGTTAAGTCACTTTCTGTCATTGTATGGAAATCACATATCCTTGACCCCAGCCTATGTCATTTCAGCAAATAATGTATTGTAGAAATTAACTTTCTTTCCTTGGAGAGGACATTGGATGTACTGGGATTGTATCGCCACTCAAGACAAGGAATCTAAGCACAAATAAATGCATGTAAAAATAAATTGATTTAGCTAGGATTTCAAAAGGAAATTCAAACACCACAAAGAAAGGATACTGTGACAATAATACCTAAAAATGTATCCATTCACTTCATACACTAGTATCTAAAAACTACAAAAAGTAATATACAGTAGTTTATTAAAAAACACTTTTAAAACAATATTCATACTCTTTCTTGCTTATTTGTACGTTTTCTGTGGAATTTTGTATAAATCTCATGTACTGACTCCTGCTGATGTATTTTCGGGCTTTAGGGGAGATTACTGAGGATATTTTGAATCCCAATGTAAGCTTTGTATTTAAAAAAACAGAGACAGTTGATAAATGAGTGGCTTGTCGAAGAGATATCTTCTTTCTGAAAGCGTTGGCAATATTATCTCTTTCTCATTAGTTAACACAGTATTAAATATACCAACAAGCTGTGCATTATAAAACCATTAAATCACGTCTGAAAAAAGAAAATGTGCTTATGGACAAGAATAGGACTGCTGGTGGAAGATTTATTCTGTGGCTGTGATTTAAGTCAGATATTTCATTGTGACTACATTCTAAATCAGAATAGAGAAATACTAGAACAAATATGTACCCTAAAGTGTTTCACAGCACACAAAGATACAGTTTGCTCAATACACCAACATTTTCTACAGCATTATATATATACTGTATATATTTTTCATATAGCACCATGTAACATCTTGAAAATGTTTTGGACAAAATTAGCAGAAATCCTGAAGTATAAAAATTCTAGGGAATTACATAAAAGAAGATTGTCTATTGATATTTTACATATCACATGTACATGCTAATTAATATTTAACTTGAAGCCATTTTGACATATTAATTCAAAACAATACTTTGCCATTAAAATGTAGTTTACTACAGCAGTTGACACTTACAGCTTGGCTTTTGGAATCTTCATGATATTGAAAGTCAGCAATCTCTCTCAGCCTTTCTGTTAGTTCATGTACAAGTTTATCCATTTTATATGCGAACAATAATTAAGACAAAGAAATTAAATCGATCCAAGAATAAGTGGAAGCTCTTTAATATAACCATGCCCACAGCATTGCTTGAAGACTCAGGTAAAACCAGCCACTGCTACTGTGACTGGAAAGTAAAAGCATGCTTTCAATAAACATATTATATTTCAGCAGCTGAAAGGAAGATGTTTCTCTAAAGCTCATAGTGAAAAGACCAACCAAAATAAATAAAAGAACCAATGAAGATGTAAGTGTATATGTAGCATATGAAAAATAATTTATTTTTAGACATAGACCTAGGGATTAAAGTATCAACTTTATTTTTCAAAGTCGGATTTACACTTGAGGAATAAAAATAGAGATTTATAAGATGCCTTTTTTTGGGGTAGAAAAGATATTTCAAAAGCTCCAGCCTCACTAAATGAGTTCCAATAATAAAATATACGACTTTCTTTTAAAGCTGAATAAACACAAAGTAAGTATTATTTGTTTCTTTAAATGTCACTCCTTTCTTGTGCTGCTTTAGTTACCTGACACCAGCCAGTACTCATTCCCTCCCCTTAGCAGTATAACTCACAGGGGGGTTCATTTACAGCAAATCGTAAATAAAAACGGAGTGAACAAAGTCTAGTCCACAAGTTTGTATACAGTATTAGATGCAGGAAATCCCTGCATGTACTGTGTTAAATATCGTGTTCATATATTATTTAATTAGATATCATTTTAACATGAAATCTGTTTGTACAGTATCATGAATATTTTATGCAATAGCAGAAAAGAGGTCAACACAAGATACTAGCCAAGAAACCACATGCTTGGAGATGGCAAAAATAAGAAAGGCAGCAATATAGGAACAGTGTGTCAGGTGTGTCCTTAAATGCACAACAGAAATGACTTCAAGAACCTATTGAAGTCTCTGTTCTAGTGAAGTTCCTGTTTCCCTTTTATAGGTATGTCTTTTGGTCTTTTTTTAAAAAACAACATTCCTCTTTATGATTCTGTCACTATTAATTATTTTTTTTGACAGTACTGTATTCTATCAGATATTCACATCTCATTTGAAACCGCGTCCTGAGCTTGTAAAAAAAAAATATTTGCATTTCTTGGTCTTGAGGTAATTTACAAGGCACAACTAAAAAAAAAAACAAGCTAGAAAGACAGACCTAAAAATAATTACAGTCTTCTCTGAACCTTGGGAATTAATCGTTATTGAAATAAACAAGTATTTTTTTATTAAAAAGCAATGTGTTCTTCACACAAAGAATTACTGTAGATAAAAATACTTTGAACTACATTTTTTAAGATGAGATCACTTTATTAGCCATATTTCTTGCATTAGGAATTTGTCTTTTCACATACCCCAGCTTGCTCTCCATGAGACACACAGACAGGGAGAGAAGCTGGGGGTCAGAGCGCAGGGTCAGCCATTTATACGGTGCCCCCGGAGCAGCTGGGGTGAAGGGCCTTGCTCAGGGGCCCAATGGAGTAGGATTCCTCTGCTGGCTGCAGGACACGAACCGGCAACCTTCCAGCCACAGACGCAGATCCTCAGCCACAGATGTTTTAATGTCAAGGATATTGCAGTAGCATCACTAAGCTAATTACTATGTTTGACTGGATGTTTGCTGCAATGAGATCAGTTTATGAGTGAGTTACACTGACAGTCGGTTGGTCACTAGCTATTATTTAGGCTTTAGATTAGGTGGTTTTCGATTCGATCTCATTGTGAATGACATGAAAACAGGCCCCTTTTAAAATGGGCAATGACACTTTAAAGCTGTTATTTATTCTCATCGTAATTACTTCGGATTTCCACTATAAGCACATGTACTATAGAGATATATAGAAACCTGGTTTCTTATTATTCTGACTACTTTTCTTCAAATTTTAGGACGCTGCGTTTGGTGTTACTGTATGTATAAAAGTGTATCAGCGTAGCTCTGACTGAAAATCTCAGATAAATTCATTTGCATGTTTTTAGAATAAGCAGAATGTTAATTATTTAAATCCTCTAACAGCTTACAATATGTAGCTTGGCTATTCTAGGAATGAAGGCTTATAAAAAGCACATTATAACAGTCCAAATTAGTAAACTAATGCGGCTGACATAATGTAGCCTGGGCTCTAACTGTATCTGGAAATGGATCTTGTTGATGTGTTTGTTAGCATTAACTGCCAAATGAAGACTGACAAAGAATCCGACTTATCCCCAGTGTATTTTTAACCACCTGTCCTTCTGTTAATCAGGGACTGAGTCTAATATAGTCCCAGGTCTCTGTAACTTCTATGTGGGTGTATCTGTGTGTGGTTGGGTAAGGGTATGCTTGTTTGTGGAGTAGTGGAACAAAACACTCTGCTGACATAAACACTGTCTGTATAGGGTACTTGTGAATATGACCATAAGACACATAACAATTCAGAAATGCCATTAATTACTGAGAGATATGTCACAATACATATTTATGTGATTTTGTGCAATTGTTAAAACACTGCCTAGCTGGATTGTCGCCTTTGTGCTGTACTAAATAATTTCATAGTGCAGTAGGACCATACTAGAAAATTGCTTTGTTTAGTATTCTTCTCAAGTCTTCTGTCTTTCCTCCCCTTTCTTCAGAGATGTTTAGAAGTTTAGAAAAAAGGAGAAAACTCGTTTTAAAAGGCATGACATGAAAAGGAGCACTTAAAAAGCTGTATTTATTCTCAAAGTAATTACTTAGTATTACACTATAGCTACATGTACTGTCTTCATGGAGAAATCTGGTTTCTCCAGATTTACCGTTCTTCAACTTTTAGGACACTTTTAGGTTTTTTGTGTTATGTATAAGAATGGGTCAGAATGCTTTGTGATTTACATAACAATCCCAACAATATTTGTATCCTGCAGTGTTTAAAATATTGTAGCCTGCATTCCCTCTAATCCTAATTTGTTGGCACAACAAAGGCTGTGGATGTGTAGGGCACAGGTGCAGCACTTCAGAGGGCTGTAGCTAGAGGCAGCTCTGACCACTACGAAGGAAATCTCAGATTAAAAGAGAATAAGCAAGAGTACAACAGGAAGCCTACATAAATCAAAGGTATCAAACACCTCTGTGTTATTGACATGATTGCATACTTCTAGATGTCTAATTGTTGCGGTTGTAGTCCCTCCTCCTTAAGGGTGCTCCAGCTCTTTCACTTTGGGTTTAATTCTGTGCACCTGAGCCCTGTTCCCAGTCCACCTTAAAAGCCAGGCGCTGACGTTCATCCAGGCTCTGCATTCTGTAACGAACAGTTCTTTCTGGACCCTATGCGGACGACGCAATCCACAACCGTGAGGAAACACTAGGAAAAAGATCATGCAGGAATAAGGGGATGAAAACAGTGGTGCGTGTCCAAAGTGCGCTGGTGCATGGGGGAGGTGTAGTCGAGGCAAACAATCCAAAAACACAAGAATAAGTCCATAGCCAGGTGATCCATCCAACAAGGAATTAAAAACATGAACCGGGTCGGAACCGGCGGACAGGGAACGGGAACAGAGATTAAAACCTGAACGGGACCACGAGCTTCCAGGTCCCGGACTCGCACAATACAGAAATCAGATTTTTTGATTTGGTTTTGAATTGTAGTAACGTCACGTTTAAGAGAATGTGTATCCTCCAGGTGGAGTGCAGTCACATGACTGTGGTGTGGCCTCCTCCAGAGGTTAATGTGTTTTCAGAACCACATCTCTGATATTTCCACTTTGAGAGAAGCCCAAATAATGCCTTGGGGGTGAAGAAAAAATCTGATATACTGATAGACAACAATCTGACAGTCTTCCTGGATACCTTTTTTGATCTCCATTGGACCATTTACTGTACTGCAATCTACAAACCATTTTTGTTTAAAATACAGTACTTTATTACTTTCAGTTCTTCCCTCCCTATTTGAATCATGTTCATATTTTTATTAGACTGTCTAGTTTTATATTTTAGCTGCCCTGCAAAGGTATTGAGACCCTTGCATGGTTTTCATATTTTATCGCTTTAAAGCTTGAAGTCATGACATCAATTAATCTTTGTTATAGACACAACCTACATCAGACAAACTAAAAAAAAGCAAAAACTAAGAAGGAAAGAATTAATAGTAAAGAAAATGGAAAGGTCTCAATTACATAAATATTCAAATCAAATATTCAAATTGGTGAGCAAAGTTCACATTTCTTAACAAACCACACAGAGGGTGGCCTCTGTCTGAGTGCAATAATGGTGCTTCACATTATTTGTGGAGTAAAAGGTCTCTGTAAGGTCCTGCAGTCTGCAAAAATTCATGCAAAAATTCAAAGACCAAGGGGCTTAAGGAACAACACAGGAATTAAGTTAAGGTAAATACATTTCAAAGACCCTTAATATCTCTGAGCATGATGAAGTCGACCATTAAGAACTGGGAGGCACCCAGACACTGCCTAGATTGGAGCTGTCCCTCCAGAATGAGCAGCTGACCCAGGAGGAAATTGGACAGGGTGACCACTGTGAGGTCAATGATGACTTCGAAAGAGTGTCAGTCACTCTACAAATGTAGCTTGTATGGTGTTGAAAAACAAACAGAGCATCTAAACAATATTGCAAACATGTGGCAAAGGATTTTGTGGTTTTGCAAGACAAAACTGGAACCTTTTGGACAAAATACAAGATGTTACATCTGCCACAAACCCAAAATAGTGCATCACTGAGTCAACACCAGCTCTGCTATAAAGCATGGAGGTGGAAGCATTATGTAAGGGTTCTTCACATAGGCAGGGACTGGGAAGCTTGTCAAGGCTGATGGGAACATACTGTAGATGAAGCCAAGTACAGGGAAATCGTAGTGTAAAACCTGCTTCAAGCCTACAACTGGGACAAGATTTAATCTCTCACCAGGACAATGATCCAAAGCTACACTGTAGAGGCTTGAAAATAAGAAACTGAGTGTTCTTGAGTGCCCGAGTTAAAGTCCTGACTTGAATCTTATCTTGAATCTGTGAAAAGTCTTCAAACTGCTGTCCATACAATTTGAGATAGCTTGAGCAACTCCAAAAAATGTACAAAACAACAACACTGAAATGCAATCAACATATTT